AATAAGCCAAGCTAACGTAGAAGAGGCGACAAATGCCAACAATGGGGGTAAAAAGTGGCCAAATAAAATCCATAAATCGCCAGACAATGCAACAGACATGGCGGAGAAAGCGGGAGAAATGTAATAAAAATACGAGTCACAAAGCAAAAACGGGTCCTGGCATCCAAACATGGACTTCATTGCTGCAGGAAAATGCAAAACAACAAATACTGCATCTTGTTGTGGAAATTTTCGGACTCCATTCCATCGTCCATTTGGGTTTTAATAAAATGTGCCAAGCTCAACTCAAGTCGGGTCCGTTCTGCCGGCTTAGACTCAAAAGCGAGCTGAGCTCACTCAACTGTAGTTATTGCTATTTTGGTTCTGGTCGGATCCCCAGAACCGGGCAATATCAAAAGCTGTCGAATCTGGCCGCAGAAATGGCCAAAAGGACAGGACATCGCATATAGTACACACACTCTCGCCCGGCACTTGACCACATTTGAAAAGAGTTATGAATATTACGGCAAGGTCTGCAGGAGAAACGTTCTATGGGGGGTTCCCCTATTTTTATGACCCCGATGTGTGCATGTGTGTGTGCGGTTGAAATTGTTATTTTTCTTATTTATTTCAATTTATGAGATTTTTATATGCGCACTTTTGTGGCCTCAGTTTTCCATGCAAGTCGTCGGGGCAGAGTATATTGCCTTCTAAATAAAGCTTTTTTTAATCAAATTTATTTGTGAATAACAAGTCAAGGGAAGTCGGTAAATTGTGAAGAATATAAGGAACCCGATATCAATCTATGTGAAGGTTCTCCGATAAAGTGTTTTGTGATATACGGTAAATTTGTGCTTGTTGACTAGTCGATTATTAACGAAATTCGAGAAAATTAAGTAACGAAATTCTAGGCAGAATGAAACCCTGTGTAAATAAGCTCTCCCAAAATACAAGCTCTAAATACTTAATGAAGTTATCCCATCCCTTTTTATATGAACTGTCAACATGAACTGAAAACAAATCGAAAGCCAAGTGCTGCCAGAGATTCGAGCAAATGGAACCTTAACAAATTATCACATCCATTACTTGGCAACCTCCTGAAACCATTCGAAGATTAGGAAACCCAACTGCCATTGCCACTAATTCAATTTCAAAGGAACCCGCGGAAAAGACAAAACTGAAAAATCGGATGGGGCGAAGTGTATATATGTATTTTTCGCTGGGAAAACTAGTTTAAAGCGACTGCAACTCGGTCACGAACTGCCATAAAAAGCGCAGTGAGAATGGGAAAAGCTGGGAAAAAAAGTATGGAGGTGGTAATTTCGAAGAGGGCTGCTCAAAGACTACCGAGAGTGTGTATTGGAGTTGATATTTGCGCATCAGTGAGCACATTGAACTGTCAATGCCAGAAAAAGGAGCAGGCGAAGAATAAGTTCGCTGGAAAATGAGGGGGGGAAATGGGGAAAACCGTCTCCATTGCCAATTTATCAATTGCAGTTGGCAATTGACAACGACGAACCCTGACGACTAATGCAGCCATTGCCGTTTGACCCGAGGGCTGAGTGCCCCATTCGCAAGTTGAACCTCATCATGTGCGTGTTGAAAAAGTAATTACATCGTGGACTGCCAACTATAAATAACAAAGGGGGGCACAAGTGAAACGACACGGTTTTTATTGCAACTTTAAAGTGTCGTTTTTGGGGCATAAATATCCACGCAAAAAGATCTTTCACCGACTACAGCCTCTACGGTTTCCTTACTCTGCATAAATCAACGTAAATGAATGCTATTTAGTTGATGGCACAGGCCAGGAAATGCGCCGCTTAGCCAAACACACTCACAAAGATGCACACGCAGGTCCTTAAAAGTAAACACTCAGAGAAAAATTATGCGGGCTTTTTAAAAAACTATTTTTAGAAAATAGTTATAAGTCAAATATTAAAAAAAAACATACTAAACTAATGTTAAACCTTACCAATAAATGCATTAATATGATAAACCAAATTAAATATACATTCTTGTTAGGTGATTTCTTGAATATTATAAAATATGGGTTGAAATAGTAGTTTAGAATTTTTAAGTCACGGTGATTCTTAAAATATTCGGAGAAATTTTATGTTTTCAAAATACTTAACAGCCATTAATCTACCTATCATAATTTTTCTAAAATAGTGAAACTTTCATTTTACGCATTTCCGTTCTTAGTTTTTAAAGAGTAAAAGATTATTTTCGAGTTTGGATATATATATTTAAGATTTGTTATATATTTTTAGATATTGGGAAGGTTATGAATTTAGTTATTAATTTTTAATCATGGTTTTTAATTTTAGGGAGTAAAGATATATGCAATAATATTATTTCTGAAAGTATTCCTTGATATTTTAGAAGATTTAATGCTGTGGTAAATTTTTTCCAGTGCACACAACTCTCTTAAACTGGTTACAGTTACAAATGCAGTCAGTGGCTGGCATTTTCCACATGCATTTCTCAAATGCTCAAATGTATACGGAAGCAGAAGCCAAGTGCAGGCGGAGCGATGTTGCCAACCGAAGAAAGATGGCCCAGAGAGAGGGGGACAGGCGATCCCTGTGTGTGTGTCTGGGTTTGGCACTTCCGTTTGATATTAGCCCGCTCTCTTCTGCAAATTTAGTCAGCATCCACAAACACTGGCCCTGCCCCTTTGAATTTTCGGTGGGTTAATGCATTTCTGCGGTTTTGGCCAGACTTCAGGGGATGGAAATGCTTTTGGTGGGGGGCATTTTGTTGCGTCTTGAGGAACTGAAGATGTTTTGCCCGCCAGCCAAGACCAGGCATATTTTGCATACTTCGGGGCTAAATCCGTTATGCCCATAAATCTAGAGCGGAAATGCATGGTATAGCTCAGCCCGCCAAGTGCAACATGCCACGGCGATCCAAAACGATTCTGTTCGAATCTAATGGATTCGCTGAAGGCGCTTCAGATATCTAGCCATTAGATATGCATTAAGTTCCCCAGATGCCACACTGAAAATGGCAACCCAATATGTATATCTTAAATATCAAATATCATTTAAATTAATGTGTTCATGACATTTAATATGTAAAAAGTACTAAAAACAATGGAAAGTGGAAAAAACTATAAATTCACTGACCAACATTTGATGGCATAAAAAGTATTGAACAACATTTTGTGGGCTTACACAATACAGCTGGTGCTGTTTATTCATATGCAACGAAGCTGATCAAGTTTTTAAACAAAAATATTATATTTTCCGCCATTAATTAAAGCCGTAAATGTTATATTTAAATACGTTTATCTGTCATTTTTTTCAGGTAAGTGAATCCATAGTCTTGACTGACAGGCACTGAAGCGTAAGTAACAAAAAATGTAATATTTAAAATACAACTTTCCCTTTTTGTTTGCACTATATTATAGAGTCAAAGTGGCCAAGCAAATAAACAAAGTGAAGCGTGGAAATTAAATAAATAAGTTGCAACATTTTTTTAGTACCCCATGTGGGTGGGGATTCCAGATTTTTCAACCGGCAATGTCCGGATACGGGGATAATGCCTTTGACAGGGGCGAACACTCAGGTTGGGGCGTCGACAACATTGTTTTATTAAATACAAAGTAATGGCCACTGCCATCCAGGGCCACCCTAGACCACCCTAGCCCACCCACACATGCAGACACGGCCGCACTCTGACTCCGGAACGGCTTAAATCATTTTCCAACTTTCCACGCTTTTTCCTCGATTTTCGTTTTTCATTTTTGTACAGCTCCTTTATTTTTGTTGGGAGGCACTTAAATTATGCAACAATCGTTACACACACACACGTGCACATATTACACATACTTGCACGCACACCACCATGAGTTATGGTGACATTTTCCAAGTAAGAAAATTTAAAGCTTTAACCACCAGCTTAGCAACAAAAATGGGGCTGAATTATGTCTGCCGCAGCGTTAATTGAAAATTCTTCACAATTTCTGATCACTTTTCAATATGCTTAGTTGAGATATGGGTAATTAAATAAAAATGCCATTTATTTGGATTTGTTCTGGGCTTAACCCATGACAAATGTTGGCAGTGGGTTAACAGAGAAAGAGATTCTGGCTTATGTGGGGATGAAAAGAGCTTGTAACATTATATTTACAGAGGTTGGTGGAAAATACCATTTATTCGGATTGTCAACTGTGGAAAATTCAAGAGAGTTTTCCTGTAAGAGAGGAAAAATAATGTTAAGTTCAACTGGTTTTCCATGAGCAACTGTTTAGGCAGTCTTTTGTTTTTAAATTAAGTTAAAAATATTATATTATTATAAATACTATATTAAGCAACAATATTTTTATAAAAACAGTCTGGTTTATTTTAAGGATAAATGGAGCGGGTAACATTATATTTACAGAGTTTTTGGGAAAATACAATTTATGGGGATTGTTAACTGTGCAAATTTTAAGAGAGTTTTCCTGTAAAGGAGGAAAATAAATGTTATGTTAAACTGGTTTGCCATGAGTCTTTTTTATAAGTCTTTTGCTTTTAAATTGAATTAATATTATTATACTATTTTCAATATTATATAATAAAATAGTATTATCTGGTTCATAATAGTTTTAATTTTATTGAAATTAAAACCGAAATATTTTTAAGAATTGAGTAATGAGTAATAGTTTAAAAGAAGCTCTCTTAATATATCCCCCATATATGACCAACTTATAACCCCATGTTAGCTCTACCAACTTGGTTAACCTGACTTGTTGAGTTAACAGAGCAAATGCTTGGCCATCTTGGCCAACTGTTAACCCGCAAAGCCAACCGGCAAGAGAAAATATCCCTCTTCTCGAATGCCGGCTCCTGGCAACCTACTAACCTACTGCGGCCTCTCCCGCAATCGCTTGTTATCACATTAGGAAATGTCCTTCGCATAGCAGTAAGTGCCACTGTAACTGCTACCGTACAGAGAGCCCACTGTACAGTGCAGCATCCCGATGTCGAAGTCGCAGGACTCGCCTTCTCAGTACATTTTGAGTTGTTGACGGCGGTGTGCGCGTTCTTCGGCATCCGAGAGCCCGAAAATATGTGTGTGCGTTTCCGTTTCCGAGTGGCTGAGTTGTGAAAAGCATGAAAAATTACACCCAAATGTAAAGTGTATATTTTGGTAGGCAAGCTCTCTTCTGGCCCAAAACATATCAACAAAAATAATGAAGGAAATAAATTATTTTAATGTGATATGATAGCGGATAATTTAAACGCGTCGCGCTGATAATGCAAAAATTTCCATGGCAATCACTTTTAGTCGAAGTAAATAATGCCAGGAGTTAAATTGAAATATCCGCGTGCCAGAATGTGGCATCGTTTAAGCGCCAGTTTATCACAATCGAGCGTGCGTGCGACCGCTTTAATTAATATTCATCGAAATGCCCTTGTAATGATTAATGGAATACGAAATCAATTAACTGCAAATGCTTAAAGAATGGTGTCAAACTATCCACGGAATTTACACGCACGTGCACATTAATTAAGCAATGTTTTGCCCGGCAAAATGGTGTAAAAAGTTTTGATAAAGAATTTGCAAAACTTTCGAGGTCCGCTCATGAGGAATAAATTTGTATGCAATCACAAATTTAATTAAAAGTAATAAGACTAATTGCACAGACCACTGGAGTGTGTAAAGTAATTAGGGAAACATCGTAAAATAACATAACATAAATTATGAGCAAAAAACAGCGCAGTTTAAATGTTTTATGTCCTTTGGCTAAAAAAATAATATAATTAAAAACTTTTGTGGAGTGTTGTTTGTTAGTTTCAATTTAATTATGTTATTAAATTAAATGTCACGAAAAAAGAAACAACATTGACGACGATAAAACTGCTAAGTTGACAATAAAAAAAATAAGTAAAATAATTTCAGTAAATTGAAAGCAACCAGAAAATATTCATGCTGTCATCCTGCATAGAAGGAGCATGTTTAAATCATTTTGAATTCATTGAAAACAAAAGCATCAACCTTTAAATAGCTGTATTCTATTTTGAACATTATTAATATGTGGCTAGAATAATAATTTTTGAAAACATTTATATTACAAAAACCATTTGTGTGGCATAAAATATATTTTGAAAGGCTTTTCATGAATTTATTATCATAATTTATTATGGTGCACTTACTATACATCGATAAATAAACCATAAATATGCTGATACCTCAAAAACGAGTGATTTTAGTGGTCAAAGGTTAAATCACCCCAATAAAATGAGGTATCAGTGCCAACTAGCTTTGTATAATGAACTGTGAAAGATAAACCAATTGGCCCGGGGCAAAGCCAAACAAATCTAAGCGACTGAAAACGAGTAAATATATAACAAATTGCGCGAATAACGCAAACAATTATGGACAATGCAGCAACAATGTCACAACATCGCATTCGGGCCACAAATCTGAAAACACTAAGCGGCTTAAGTGCCATTCATGTTATGTACACACAGTGTCAATCCCCACCAAAAAAAAAAAAACCGAAAGGCCCATCTGAAACACGATTAATCTCAATTTATGACATCAGCCGTAGGAGCGTGCGAAAATCAAAACTCGAAAAAAATAAAACACGCTCCTGCGAAGCGCTAACGATCAAACTGGCAATCAATCAATCAATTTATCAATCAACACTTTACGGCCAAGTGGAGCAGGAACTCCGAAAACTAAGCCATAATTGACGTTTACGGCTGATGGGCTTATATCTATCTTATACCCAACTAACCCCAACCGTATGCATACATATAAGTCTGGGAATACGAACAATATGATTTATGCAGCAGCATAATTAGAGTTCTGATGATGGCTGGATATATATGTCATCGCTGCTATTATCCTGCTGCCCTAATCACATTTCGCATAATGTGGAACTTAATAAAATAATAATATTCCCGAAATTATGCTTCTGCTAATTAGTTGCATAAATCAAGCCATAATCCGGATGGACATCCTCTTCACCCATATCCTTGCTGCTAATTGATTAGAGTTGTAGACATGATTTTTGCATTTCACCCGCCCAATTTTGATGGCACTACATAGTATGTTATATTTCGTAATAAACCTCACTAGGGGGAGAGTTACCCGGTGAAAGTACACCGAATCTCGGTTATTTCACACCTCAGTTTTCACCTGACTTTCACTGAAGTCCTCCTCTTTCGCTCCACTGGCTGCAAGTGAAATGTTTGCCACTCTTAATTTATCATCTGGGGTTCATTTGCCGTAAGTGAGTCTGCGGTGTCATTATTTTTTGTGGCTCTGAGGTCATGTGGCTGAGTCTTACATGCCATCACATAAAAAGCGATGCGTGGCATTATGATTGGGGTACGTGTGTCAGCAGGGTCTGGATAATGGAACCGGGCTCGGCAAATGTTAAACCAGGTTAGGACAGCTTGGCCGTATCGAGCGCAAATTTCATCCTCAGCGAAATCATACGGCAATACAAAGCCAACAGCCATAAATCCCCCTGATTGCCTTCAATCTTAATGGAGGTCCTTGAGTTCGTATGCTCGAATTGCTTCACTTGCTGAGCTATTCAACATTTGAAGATAAAGACAAATAGTTCCGATTAATATCGATGATAAGGAGCTGCAGCGAACCAAAATAAATCATGATTTAAGTACATTTCTGATAAACGAGAACCCTATCGGAATTATTTTTATTACAACAAATTTGGTACATAAAACTTCATAGAATAATAGCGACAAATGGAGAATTTGTTTTATAAATAATTGTAATTTTGAAACAATTCTTATTAAGGCTAGAGAGATTTATTGTATTAAAAATAGTCTATTAAACTAATGATTCCCATTTAATCTGAAACACAAAAAGTTCCCTCAAAAGAATCGCATTGCTTTTAAGCACTCATTTATTCCGCCTTTGCAGTTTATACCCCGAGACAATACCCAAAAGAAAGTGCAGCAATAAAATAAAATTATTATATTTGCCGGCTCTGTTCTGCGACAGATAAAATAGTTGCAAGTCCCACCGCTGGGCCACAAATTGGCCATATATCCCGGGGTTGCGAAATCGCGCCATTACACAAGCCAAAAGCCGCGGGTCTGCCATTCCGCCAAATGTCTCTCGATAGATGTGGGTGGAAATTCAGGGGAGGATGTGAGGAAAGGCGGCCATGTGAGCAATTTGGTAGAACCCCCGAAAACAGAAGCCCTGGGCCTTCAGAGGAACCAAAATTCATAGTCGGAGCCGGGGAAATCGAATCAGGGGCCCGCAGCTCACAGCCAGATAAGCAGCTGTGATTTATTGCATCTAATTGCTCACGAGCCGATCCGCGAACGTGCCCCAATAACATTTGGGGGCTTCACACCTCAGCGGATTCATGGCGGATGCCCCAACGTCCAAATGCCCCTAAAATGGCAGTGGAATGCTATCAATTGCCTCAAACATTTTGTGGTCCGCGGTTCCTGCCAGCCGTCAATCAATTTAAACTGAAGTGGACACACTCCATTAAAACCAATTTCAACGGACATTTTGGCACAAATCAAAGCTTTTGTCACATTCCAGAAGCTGAGCTAACAATATCATACAAATATGGTATATCAAATTATAACAAATAAATCAAACCAAAGCAAGAAAGGAACCCCTGAAAGTGGTTTTCATGGGAGTATTCTATATATGGAGCTTTATAGAAGCTACAAAACAAATACAGAAATATTAAGATAACGTTCCATTTCAATTTACTACCGTATATGTTTAACCGAAAACTAATATAATATGTTTTGTATTATTTTGACATTAATTTTCCGGTCCTTCCTATGGCAACTTAATGATATAGTAGTCCGATTTTGATTAAATTTAATTCGTAGTTTTGAAATATTACAAAATTCTATATACTGGAGTAGAAGAGAAGCCAAATAATTTTATTATCATTTTTCAGCTACATGATAAAGTCGTGCAATTTTTTAAAAATTTAATTAGAAATTCTGAAATGCTTTAAGAATTACAGCCCTAAGAGTATAAGTTAACAGTCAATAAACACAAAAGCTTATAGTTTTTACATAGCTATTAGTTGTTAAAGAAGTAAAAATAAAATAAAAGGTTTTCCTTATTTTTTTATTTTCCATGTTGTGCTTTAATTACTTTATAAAGCAAGATTTAATTAGTTAATGAGTTGTTTTTGTTATTAAATTGTCTGAACGACTTAAAGCCCTATTTTTGATAGAAATAAACGAAAAAGGAAAGTTGAAAACATCAAACTAAGGCGATTCACATAGAAGCAAAGCAAGAGCAAAATGTTTATGCAATTTTAAGCAGCGGAAGAAATATATAAATAAGTCAGGGAACATTTCAGCAGCGCCTTGGGAACAATCTCTTTTTCAAAGTGCAACCATCAAGGGACTTAAAAAGCGGGAGAAGAAAGACCACCAAAAGCCATTGAAGGCGGTGAAAAGAAAAGAGGAATACTGTTCCAATCATGAAATTTGCATGCACCAAGGAAAGAAGCTGCAGGTTTTGCTTTCGGCCCCATCTCACCAACAATAGCTGCAGAATACCAAGAATTTTTCATTAGATTTCTATTACATATTGGGAAGGAGGCTAATTTATTCGGAAATGTTTGAGCTGCGCAAATAAACGAGCCACGACTACATGACAACAGTTTAATGAAATTCACAGTGGCAGCGGAAAGAACAGCCTAATTAAATAACCACGCCCACTTCGAGGGCACTTCGAGCGTAACATTTACCCTGCCACGCCCACCGCCCTCCGCCTCTTGCCCCGCCCCCAGGATTTTTCCACCCACTGAGCCGTCAGGCCATGGATAACTTTATAACTCGAGTTAACTTATTTTTTGCCACTCGAACGCTTTGCTTTGGCTTCGAGCACCTGCCGAAAAAATAAAGGAAACCCACTCGGGCTTTAAACTTTGCAGTCCGTATTGAAAAAGAACAGAAGCTGTTTTATTTTAAACATAAAAAAACAGTTTTTCACATCAAAAACATTTTTCAATTTTTTTTAAGCGTAGAAAATTGGTAAAAAGTTCATATTTACAGAGAAAAGTTACTATATTTTTAGCTACACCTGTTTAAATTAATTTGCTTTCGCCTTCGAAAAAATAAATACATTATTTCACGCTGATATTATTACCTTGATAAGATGATATTTTTATTCATAAC